CCAACAGGGTATCAAAGCAGATGCTGAGACTCATGACCAAACTTTGGACAGAGTGCAGGGAGTCTTATGGAAGAAGAGAGGGGTAGGAATAGAGTGACATGGAGGGGATAGAAGCCCCACAAGGAGACCAACAAAGTTAAAGGATCTGAGCCCAGGGGGTCCTATAGAGACTGATGCACCAATGGAGGACCATGCATGGAGAGAACTTAGACCCCCTGCTCAGATGTGGCTGATTGGCAGCTCAGTCTCCATGTGGATCTCTGAGTGAGGGGATCAGGGGCTGCCTCTGTCATGAACTCAGTTGCTTGCTCTCTGATCACTTGCCCCTGATGCTGCAGCCTTGCCAGGCCACAGAAGAAGAGGATCCAAGCAGTCCTGATGAGACTTAACAAGCAGATAGCAATAGTGGAAAACTGCCCCTTTCAGTGGACTAGGGGAAGGGGAGGAGGGGAAGAGGGAGGGATGGTGGGACTGGGGGATCCAAAGGAGGGGGCTTCCATAGGGATATATAATGAATATATTGGGAAAAATAATAAAAGATATACATATTTAAAAAAAAAAGAATCTCTGCTGTAAAAAGTACTGGACCTGCACAGACTAAATAAAAAGGTGAAGCGCAGACAGAGTGTAAGAGATGTACAGACTCCATCAGCGCCTGGGAACCTAAAAATAATTCATATGACCCAGAGTTAATGGAAATATTTCTTAATTTTCAAGCCATTGTAAAAGAAAAGGCTCATACAAAAAGAAAATGTTGATCCAACAATGAATCCGATGCTAACAAATACAAGGAGAAAAGAGAAGCTGCTGACAAAGCACAAGGCTGTTCCGAAGGTCTTGGTGCTCAAGGAGTGCGGAGAAGCAGCAGACAGCCATGAGAGATGATGATCTCATAGGTGGAAGGGCTCAGATGAGGCATGCTTTGTGCCAGCAGAAGCTGCAGGTAGACATGAACTGTCCTGAGATTTTAACTGCTCTTCAGTAAGAGACTGAGTTGGCATTCTTGTCCAGAAAGAGAAATTCAATAATTGTGTGTGTGTGTGTGTGTGTGTGTGTGTGTGTGTGTGTGTGTGTGTAAAATTTGATATCTTAGTTTTTGAGCTGTTAGTGTGAAAAAATAACTACATTCTAAAGGAAATCAGGTTTGATAAGTGGGTTTTGAAAGTATTAACCGTTGCTGGGATTTGTTTTACTTGCATGGAAAGGCATTCTACTTTATGTAGAGGAAAGCTTCCTGTAGCTGCTTATCAGACAGAGTACCTGACATCCCAGTTTATTTAATGTGCATTGAAAGGCAGCTTTTCTCAGTGTTGGGAAGTTCTTTAGCCATTATTCAATCAGAACTTAGTTTTGACTAGTACAAGAAAGAACCTTCTACTATTTTTATCCATGTGTGTATACATAAGATATCTATAGACACAGATTTTGTTCTTAAGTATCCACTGAAGCCACCTCTAGTTAAGTTCAAAACATACCTAAAGCATTACCTTTTCAAATTAAATAGTTGATTCGGTAGTTACTCAGGCTGTTTAGGTACAATGACTCAAAAGCAGCTGTATCACATTTTATATCTATATCGTCACAGATATGAAACTACTTATTTACAAAACTCCTTCAAGGCAAGCAGTTACCACTACTAACAATCCCCACCCAGACCAGGGAGCAGACAGATCTCGGTTTAACTAACTAAGCAAGGCTTAAGTGGATATTTGAGGTTCCTCCAGGGAACCACTCCTTCATGCACAGTTGAAATCTGTGTACTGAATAGCTAAGGTCTCTCATGGAAATGTAGTCATGTGATCAGAGGAGCTGCTGATTTAGTACCCACTAGTGTAAATGGGAAACAGATTTTTACATTGAAGCTGTTAATCTGCATAATTTTCCTTTGTCCCAACTCATTCTGTCAAGGGGATCTTGCTCTGGTGTCCCTGCAGGTGTCTGGTCTGTGTGGTTTCCACTGGAATAATTTAGACAAGACATACAACAAGCAATGTAGGAGACAGGCAGAGGAGAGGCGAGCACATGCTCGGGGCCTGAGAATGGACTGTGGCTAGTGAGAAGATTGCCCTGGTCTGCACTTACGAAGGCTCTGTACTGTTTCTAAAGTCTCTGGAACAAACACCTTTCCCAAAGGCCTTTCAGTCCAAATGATTGGCAGCCTGCCTGGTTTGGCTTTGGGGGTGGGGCGGGGTGAGGTATGTCCTCAGTTTTCATTAGAAAGCCATCTGCTTTGTAGTAATTTTATAAACTTTAGGGCTGCTGGAGTCAGACATAGATGATTATCTATAAATGACCTTCCAGGCAGGCGGAGGATGCAACGTCTCCTCCCAGGGCCAGAGCTTCACTGGGTGTCCCTCCTGTTCCTCTGCTCAGACATTAGAGTCCTGCATTTGCAGCTGTAGAGGCTGTCATGGGAGAGGAGTCCGGCCCTAACGCCTTCTGGTCATGGAATATCTAACTGCCTTCCTAACACGTCCTTCTACATAGCCCAGTCTGCACAGTATTTGGGTTAGTGGTTCACCAGAAGCTAGGAAGATAATTTTATAGTAATCAAAATATTATCTAGCTATACATTGCTTACTTTATTATAAATAATGGAACAGTGGTCAGTAAATAGTTTCATATTCATGTAGCCAGAATCCTTAGCTTTATCCTACAGGTTAGCCTCTGTCTCTGATATTTATCTTGCCCCGTCTGCTTATGTTTTTAATCATAGTTCTTTGAGGGCACCTGGAGAGCATTTCAGACCCCCTCAAGATGATGTGCTATGAAAGTTTTCACTACATTAGAATCCAGACACATTGTCTATGCTTTCAATAAAACATCACCGGCCTTAAACACCAAGATTATATTGTCTCTTTATCTCATTCTGTGCACTAAGCCTATGCTATAATCATAAAAGCTGGCTACCATATAGGCCTTTACACTTCAAATGTAAAATTATTCAATAAATGAAACTATTTACAGATATAGTTTATATATTTGGCTAGCTTTAGAGACAGGGTCTCATGATGTAGCCCGAATTGGCCTTAAACGCTCAATCATCCCACCTTTAGACTCATGAGTTCTGGAAAGACAGACGCGTACCAACATGCCTGGCCAAGCAGTTTAAGGATGTAATTCATAAAAAAAAGGAAATGAAGTCCGTGGCAGCAATGAGGTTAGAAAGCATACCTATCCACCCCAATCCCTTCTCAAAACTCCAGCAGATACCCGAGGCTTGGGGTCACAGACCTTGCCTACAGCCCAAGACCAGCAAGTGTGCTGTGTTACTAAGCCAGAATCTAGCCACAGGCCCCAGCCCAGCTCTCTCTCCACTCCATGCTCACACTCTTTGTGCTGGCAGCTTTACACAAACTAAAGTCATTTGAGAAGGAACCTCAATTAAGAAAATGTCTCCATAAGATCAGATCATATCTCCATAAGATATGCAAACCTACAGAGCATATTCTTTATTAGTGATTGATGGGGGTGGACCCAGCCCACTGTGGGAGGTACCACCCCTAGGCTGGTGATCCTGGGTGCTACAAGAAAGCAGGCTGTGAGCAAAGTCACGAGGAACAAGCCAGGAAGGAGCCCCCCTCCGTGGCCTGTGCATCAGCTCCTGCCTCCAGGTTCCTGCCATGCGTGAATTCCTGTCCTCACTGATTTTTTATATGAACTGTGAGTGGAATAAACCCTTTCCTCCCCAACTTGCTTTTGGTTGTGGTGTTTCATCACAGCAGTAGTAACCCTAGGACTCTCATTGTTGCTGCCCTTTAGAGAACAGATGTTTCCCAGACCCTGTACCCTGCAGGCACTGTAACTGGGCTTAGGGCTTGTTTCCACTGTTACTCCTGACCTGATGCAGACAAGACCCCAGGGAGCTGAGCCATCGTAAGTAGAGCAGCGCAGGCACTCCAGTGACATCCCAACAGTCCCTGAGCAGAAAGGCTGACCCAGTGTTTTTGTAGTAGTCACTTGTTTTTTAGGGAGCTAACAGCTAGTGGCTTCTCCACTGTTCCCAGAGAGGCACCGCTGGCCTGCTCACCAGGAATGGCTCTGATGGCCAAATCCTTTTGTGCACACGCCTCTTCCCTCCCACACCCAGAGTACATTCCACCTCCATCGGGCTCACACCTGCCCATCCTCACTTCCTGCGGTGTCTACACCCGTGGTTGTCTTGGCCATACCCTTGGTGTCCTTGTGCCTCAACTGAAGGCCTCTCTTTTGCCTGCTAACCATGCCTGCTCCACTAGTTCCAGTGTGCCACACTCCAGCTGCTTTACAAGCAGTGATAAGCGGCCCTGCCTCCTGCCTCGGACTTGTACTCAGTCCTAGCAACTGGCAAGCGTAGAGCCCCGAACCAATGCCTGGAGCAACCCCACAACTGTAAGCCAGGGGGCTTCCAAGCCTCCACAGTCCCGAAACCTGACCTAGCTCCTCCAGGGTCTGCAGCTCAGTACAGCTTGTCCTTGGCGCCATCCTCCTAACATCCCTCACAGGGTAACCCCACCTCCTACCTTGTCTCCAGCTCTTAGTTAGTTGCCCCTGGCACCATCCTAAGCACTCAGTCCGTTCTTTTTTTTCTGATTATTATATGTTTTAATTGCTACAATTTATTCTGTAGCCCCCATTCTTGTCCCCTCCCAGTCCCACTCTTCCTCCCTCTTCTCCCATGCCCCTCCCCAAGTTCACTGATAGGGGAGGTCCTCCTCCTGACCCTAGCCTATCAGGTCTCTTCGGGACTGGCTGCATTGTTTTCCTCTGTGGCCTGTTAAGGCTGGAGTCCCCTCCGAGGGAGGTGATCAAAGACCCAGCCACTGAGTTCAGCGCTCAGCCCTTTCTAACCCTCTCACCACAGCGTTACTACCCCTAAAGCCTGCCCCATTACTGTCTGAACAACCCGGAAATGTGGCCCCGTCCTAGGCCTCTCCTTAGCCCTGAAGCCCCACCCCCATCATATTCCTTACGGACCGTAGGCCCCTCCCTGATAACACAGGCCCCGCCCTTCCCCTCACCTTGCTCTCCCGTAAGAAGTAGCTGAGCTCTTTGGGTTCCTGACGCCGTGTTGGGATGTAGCTGAAAGCTGGTGTCGCTGAAATGGGAAGAGTTCGGGGCTTGCCCCGCAGTGTGGAGGCGGTGATTTCCTCCTCGTCCTCCTCTACCTCCTCTTTCACATCTCTGGGGTCCATCGCCCCCTGTTCAGTCTTGGCTGGTCCCTCTGCCTAGGAAGCCCAGGCCTGAAGCATCGGGTCGCGAGGCTTCTGCGTCCCTTCGGGCGTCTGCGCTCGGCCGTTGCCTGGCAACTGCGCCTTGGCCTCAGCATCCGTTGAGTGACGGAGGTTGGGACGTTCCTTGACGCCTCTTTCTAAGTCATTATGGCCACACCCTGAGAGAGACCAAGCAACGGTTGTGTGTGGCTTTTTAGGTAGGAGCCGCCTCAGGGACCACACCCATTCCACTACATGTGTGTGCTATCCCAGCGCAGTTCATTCTAAGTCTCAGACACTCGTTGGCTTTGCAGATCATGGCAGAAAGCTACTATGCATCAGAGTCTGACGGTACAGCCCTGAAACCAGCAGCCCTTAGGGCACAGAGAGCTTACATCCTAGAGAAGTCAGATGACAAAGATGGGAAAGGCTTCAGAGGTCCAGGACAGCGCAATCCCACAGAATCATGGGGCCACATGTGTAACGTTCAGAGTGCAAGATTAAAGGCTCAGGACTATGGGCCACACACATGGGCCTCAACTTGTGGTGGTAGCTGCATTTCATATGTGGGCTGAGCAAGTCATAGGAACCGATGAGAGTGACCACGGCATAAAGTCAAGTTCATCGGATTTAAGGCAGCTCTGATGCTGCTCCACCCTCAGCTCCAGGAATCCCACTTCCTCCTTTCCTCTCTTCTCCCCTGGCAGATTGCCTGAGTAGACCGTGAGTCGGGGGGGGGGGGGAAAGCCCAAGAACTTTCCCACCATGAGGCAAAGTCTCAAGGGCTTTCTTCTTACTGGGAACCACTTGGCCAAGTGGACATCTCCCTGGAGCTTGGGGATGTGAAAAAATCGGGGCTATCACCTCCCTCCCATGAACAGAAGTTGCAAAGCATGCCTGGTAATGTTTTCAACCCCATGAAAATGTTAGCAAAGTAAAATAAAATAGAGAGCCCTCTGTAATGTACTGTCAACCTTTCCCACCACTCCCAGCCTTACCAACGGCAGAGAAAGAGAGGTCAGTTGAGAGCCATGAGGCCTTGCAAACCTTCTATAGATGATAAAGTGCACACACTTGGAACTGTGGAAGGGGTTGACACCAACGATGATGAGAACTCAGCTCCAGTATAGCCTAGACTGAAATAGTTCCATCAAGGAAATCCTTTTCACAGCCATTCAGACATAACTTTGCTAGCTGCCATTTCATTAGTACCATTTTGTAATTGTAAAGGAAAACTATCCTAGTAACACTTTAGTTAAACACAGTGTGTAGTTACCTTTAACTCCACATAGGCTGGAGTCACCTGAGGAAGCAATCTCAGTTGAAGGATTGCCCCATCAGTGGCCTCTTGGCAGATCTGTGGGGATCATCTTAATTGTTAACTGATGTAGGAGGAGCCAGCCTACTGCACAAATGCCGTTCCCTGGGAAGATGGTTCTGCACTGTATTTCTTCTTGTAGCTAAGCATGAATCCGCAAGCAATTCAGCTAGCAGCATTCCTCTATGGCTTCTACTTTGAATTCCTGTCCTGAATTCTCCCAAGGATGGACTGGGGCCTGAAGTGTAAACCAAATAAAACCTTTCCTCCCCTAAGCTGCTTTTGTTCAGAGTACAGAGAGGAAACCAGCACGCAAAGGAAGGTTTTATTCAGGGCTGTGACTGTAGTAATAGGGAGCACGAAGAGGGTCTTTCAGCCTGAGCTCAATAGCAGGCTCAACTCCAAATACAGTCAGGCTCAGCAAGTGAAACCTTGGAGCCAAGGAGCAGGGTTGATGGTATGGATAAGAAAGGAAAGGGGGAGGGGGGGAGGTATAGAGGATCTGGCTGAACCCACCTAGCAGAACACCTGCTGAATACAGACCAGGTGACTGGGTACCTCCTGGAGGATTGTTGGGGGCACAGATCTAGTGAGAAAGACTGACCATATACAGGGTTGGGGCCAGTGGTTCTTGCTACACTAACTTTGGGTTCTTTTGCTAAAACTGAATTGTGCAAGGAAAGCACACAGAATAGCCTGAGGAGATGACAAGTGAGACAGAAAACAAAGAACTGCTCACCTCAGATGGTGAACCAAAGTAACAATGACATCTAAGTCCAACTTGAAGAATAAATGAATTTATTGGGGTTACTTACAGGAGTATACATAAAGGGTTACTAAAGAAGCAGAGACAACTAAAGTCACCTGTATCGCCAAAAAGCCAACACAGACAATTCCAGCTCCAACTCTGGAGACCTCCATGCTTTACAGACATCTCCCCAGGTTATGGAGCCTTTTCCAGGCAGCCCAGCTTACTCTTTTTACCCCCAGCAATTTCCATAACCTTGGAGAGATGCCCCATATATCTTGTTAGTTCCGGGAACTTTGAAAGACTTGTTAGCTGTTTGTTTCCTGAGCTTATGAGCATTTTTCTCTTCTTTCCTGGAGGGAATATTGGAATGTAGAACTATAAAGGGACCTCTCCAGAATGGAATGTTTGAGCCCACTGAAAATTGCTAAACACTAGGAGAAGATTAATGATGCTGACCAAAGTTGGCCAAGCAAAGATGTTGTGATTTTACTAGACTGAAAGCTCTCGACAGCGTGGCCACTTGGATCTTTTTTATCATGGACAACTCAGCAGATTTCCAGCAAGTATTTCATGACAAATAAAATTGTTGCTTTACCTGGAGTTTCCTGGAACAGGTGGGTCTAACCAGGGATTGGATTCTCAGGAGTTATCTGGAGTAAATCCAGGGAGTGGGAGAAAGGGCCCAGGAGGACTGAGAGGTGGGAGAAGCCATATCAGCCCATGGTGTTGGGCTGGAACCTGGAAAGTGAAGAGCCCAGAACACTAAGATTGGCATCTGAAGTTCAGGCTGATCTGATCCACATGTGGAGCTTGGTGGTGCCCAGGTATTTTCTGAGGAGCCCAGAGAGGTTGTATGAGATCAGCATAGAAGCATGCTGCATCTCCAGTGCTCACATTTCCAATTTGAGTCATATCCCCTGTCCATGCCCATGGAATGAGCCAGCACTTGAATCCAATGTAAGGCTAAGTAGGCAAGGGAGGCTAGGAGAGGTGGACACAACAGCAGCAAGACAACCAGAACTTTCAACTGTTGAGGCTTTGAATATTAAAAAATAACTTATGTGTGATCCCACTGTATATTCCAGGTACCTAATGGACTTCCAGGGAAAGCAAACAAATTCAATGTGGTTTATATCTCTCACGCCTTAACTTGCAAAGCTCTATGACAGAAGGCAAACTGGGTATTTGTGAGTACATAGGAATCAGATCAGCCTGCATTTCAAATCTTGGTGTTTGGGTTGTGCAATTTCTGGATCCCAGCCCAACACCATGCACTCCTCTCAGAGCTGCAACTTGCATCTTACTTATCTAGCTGGCTCAGGGCTGTCATCCTATACTTCCTTCTACACCGCTCTTGCCTATATGGGAACTGTGCATACTAATAGCTGTGTGCACAGCACTGTAGTGCTATGAAGCAGAACTCTGTTGTCTGCATGTCCCCAAAGAGAGGGATGAGCCAGTATTTCACAGAGGCACCGTGAATTCAGGAGAACAGGTAGGTCAAGGGAGGTCAGGAGATGGGGACCAAAAAGCAGTGGAGAGCCTGTACTGTTTCTTTTGGGAGACTAGGTTAGAAGCCTTTCTGCTAACCCAAGGCAGAGAGGGAGAAACAAGAGGAAAATGCTGTCAGGTCATATTAGCTGTAGCTTCAGCATTCTTGAGCAGCATGAAATCTGTATATACTGTGTTCTCATACACTCTCCGTAAGTCTAGGAAAACCCATCTAGCTCATTAGCTTGAAGACAAATCTGAGACCTGGGGAAGCTACATGACTGGATACAGACAATTATTCTGTTTTAAAATAGCAACATAAACTCATTTCAAGTAGCCCAATGTAACTGGACTTTAATTCACAGCAGCTAACATATCTTAAAGTTAATTGCTGCAAGCATGCCTCTGCGTTTGGTTTGTATCCTGATGGTCTTAAGGAATGGACCCGTATTTGTTCATGTTTGTGGCTCAGAGAAGGGCTGACCAGCTATGTGTCTCTGCAAGTTCAGAGAGCAACACAAAGTCAAAAGTACACGTACAATAACACATCAGCACTGGTCTCCAACGCTGTGTCAAGGCCATGGAAAAATGAGGACTAACACCTAAGAAGAAAGCCACTGTCCACCAAAATCATCTCAACTAAATCAGGATATGGGCCAGGATCCATGGTGTGGCTGAACAAGCTTTTGCCTTATTAGATTTCCCATTCTTGATAACGATAATGATAACAAAAGACATAGATACTGTCAATGGTGTAGAGTGACAATGACTTTTATAGTAGGCCGAATCACCGAACTGATCAAGTCCCTATGGCAACCTTAAGTGTCTTTCTTCTTTATAAACAAATACAAGGTAATCAAAAGGAATGATAGAACTAGGAAAACTTTTTTTTTTTTGGCAGCAGTTAGTGGAATAATGGATCTAAGCTAAATCAACACAGGCTAAAACCATTAGGGAAAGGTTAATGGAGTGGAGAGACAGACAGAGAAAGAGAAAAAAAGAGAGAAAGAAGAGAAAAGGAGAGAGATAACTGACTGAAGGTGGCCTTAAACAGAGACTCTGGATGTCACCTTCAGTTCCTAGGGAATTATAGCAGATACAGGGTCAAGTCAGATGACGGTGAATTAACAATGTTGGCCATTCTATAGGCTAACTTGATTAATTTCTCCAATAAATTAATGTTCTGAAAGCCAAATGGAGAAGGGGCAGCTCTATTTATCAAATACTTAAGTGCTTCATAACTACAAACAATATGAGAACTTTGCATCCTGATTCAAGTACAATACAGCATAGAAACAGCACAGGAACCATGACATTGTCCTGATATGAAACTGTAGAAAGTAATTATTAATTTTGTTAGTTTCAGTAGTGGCTAAATGGCTCAAAAATGATCATAAATGCACACTGAGGTATTTAGGGCAAAATGATATAATAGCTTGATTTTTCTAGAAGCATTACAATAAGAAGGGAAATAGATGGAACATGACTGGAAAATTATGGTAATTTCTCATGCTGAATAAAAAGGCTCAACCATTAAACAATTGTTTCAGCTCTTATAGGTGCTCAAAATTTTTCCATACTAAGAGTTAAAAACAGTAGGGTTACCAAGAGATTGTTTCTTACAAACACCAGAGCCCAAAATCAGTTCAACCCATAAATAGTCTTTGTTATGTGCGGGAGACTGTGGGAGTTGTTGTGAAAAGATGTTTGTTTTTCTGAGAGACGAGATTACAAGTATATGAGGACAAAGTTTCTTTTGGTGGACCTCAACAGCCAAAGAACGTTAGTATAAAGTTCGATTTTCTGATGGCGGGGCCAGTGAGCAAGGGAAGTTGCATATCAGAGGCCAATCAAGCATTCTGTGGGATCTGGAAAAAGGCAGGAAGCCATAAAACCCACTGACATGGGCTGAGCAGACGGAGCAGAACCACTTGTGTGAATGAATACTTAGCCATCCCGGGGTGACTCTACAACTGTAAAAGGTTCAGTGTCTGGTCAGGAAATTGAGGCTACCTCTGTGTGAGAGTGTCCCATGTAGCTCAGATCCTGCAGGCCACGGCAGGACATCCCACACATGCTCAGATCCTGCAGGTCAGTGGAGAGAGTTCTACTTTATCCGTCTGGTTTCAAACAGCACAGGGTTTCCGGCACTGTGTCCTCAGTGCTCTCATAAAGGAAGTTATCAGAGGTTTACAGTGGTGCCCTGCACATCCTAAGCAGTAAGCAGTTGTGTTCCTCATGAAAGACCTTCATGAGCCCTCACACATACATACAGCAAATTATACAGTATAATACAGCAAATCTTAAAAGATGGCGTGTAGCAGCCGCAGACAGCAGGAGCTGACAGGTTCAGAGGACCTTCTAGGTGCACGCTCATGCTTTATCTCACTGTCCTACCCTAGGTTTTGCTCCACAGGAATGTGATGAGTTCTACTTGGGGAAATCTCAGACTTTAGAAACTAGTCTTTCTAGTTTCTCCACAATGAAGCCAAGACCTTCCCCTCAATCTGCAATCCTCTAGCAAGTGCGTTGTGGGATTTTTGTTATTGATGTTGTTTTAAAGGGACCTGGTTACTTATTTCCCTAAAATTCTTCCAAATATGAATTTCCTTTCTATTTTTTTCTCCCTTCTGAAAAACACTAACGAATCAAACAGCAAGATTTGGAAGGCAGGATCCCTGTATTCAAAGATCTCCCATCCAGCAGACACCACTTCATCCCAGTGTAATTCCTGCTCCCTCGTGTACAAGCCTGGTTCGGGCAAAAGACGGCAAACGAGGAAACTGACTTTAGTTGTCCATGCCTTGCACATCTGACCATTTTCCTCAGCATGCAATACACACACATGCTCGCTCTCTTTCTCTCTTTCCTTCTCTCTCTCTCTCTCTCTCTCTCTCTCTCTCTCTCTCTCTCACACACACACACACACACACACACACACACACACAGAGGTGGGGGCATCTGTTTTCATCCTGGTTTCCCCTGTAGCTGAGCCAATGTCATAACTTGGCTGACCCCTAGTGGTAACCCAAGAGAATATCACTGCAGCTTCCAGAGTCCACTTGCCTAACAATTTTCACCTATTTTCCTTTTTCACTGTACTTTTAAAAATATCACACGATTAGACTTTACTCAAAATTGTTAGCTACTGAGAAGTATAACCTGTATATGCTTGCTGTAACAGCAAAAACACAAAGATTCAAAGGCATGAAAATCCAATGTATAGATACCTAAGTACAGCAGCGCCAAATTCATGCCCTTTGGTGAAGCCAAAAACTGTGCTTATTCACCTATTTTTATAACATACACAAACATTCTCCTGATTAAAACTTGTTTTAAACATAGCCAGGGTTAATTCTAGCCTCTTTTCCTGGGAATGTCCCCTTCGCTTTGTGCCAAGCACAGCAACCAGGGTCCATGGGCCCCAGATGTCCACACTGGTCTACAACTCAGCCTACAAATCATTCTGGGCCTTTGCAGGTGGGTTCCACATGTGCTTCCAGGGTGCCACTGCTCTTCCCTGCCTGCTCTGTGTGGACTGTGATTTGTCTTGTGTACTTTGCAGGTTTAACTTTCTTGGGGTGAGCCTTAGCATGGCTGGAATCCTTACAAGAACAAGTGGACAGAGGCTATCAAGGAGAACGCCACAAAAAGACTAGGACACAGCACCATGCATGGAAACAGAAACACAGACCTCAAAGAGATGCTCATGTAAGAGGCAATGACCCAGACATGGCCCAGTGGGAAGGCAGCCATTTGAAAGGCAACAACACGTGTACATACACGCTCACACACACACACACACACACACACACACACACACACATGTGCACACAAACACTTGCATTTGTTGCTCGTGCCAATGGGAAGCAGGTCATGTGTAGATGCCAGGAAGAATAAGGCTCTCCAGGGCACTACAAACCACATGAAGTGGTAAAGCATTCTCTCGTAAGTCTTCAAAAGTGCCTGTCTTACTGACACCATGACTCTGGACTCCTAGCCTCGAACATGAGGGCTGATACTTTATTCCACTGCTGTGACCCACACATTTCGCAGTACTGTTACAGTATCCCTAAGAGCATAAAACCTGTCCTAACTTCCTTTCTATCGCTGTAGTAAACCCATGACCAAAAGCAGCTCAGGGTAGCTTTAAGGTCACATCCATCATCGAGAAGCCAGGGTGGGAGCTCAAGCAGGAGCCCAGAGGCCAAGGACAAAGATGCTTACTGGCTTGCTCCTTGGTTCTCTGCTCAGCTAGCTTTAATATACGGCACGGGAACGTCACTGCGCACAGTGGGCTGGGCCCATCTACATCAATGAGTAATTAAGAAAGTGTCCCATTGACATGCCCAAAGGCAAACATATTTGAGTAAGTGAGGTTCCCTCTTCCCAGGTTACTCTGTCAACTGAGGGTGCTTCTCTTTGTCAGTGTCCCATGTGGCTCAGATCCTACAGGCCACAGAGGGCTGATCCACTACCACAGGACTTTGCCAGGGAATTGAAACCCGAGACCATATCAGCAGTGAGGAAGAGAAAATGAATGCAGACTTCAGGATTCCTGAACCACAATTCTTACTATGCTGTATTGCTTCTCAAGATCACACTGGAACAGTATGCTTCTAACTATCATAGAAATCACCTCTGACCCCGTGCACTACACAGCACTACAGGGCAAAACGGAAAACAGCCTAAACCAGAAGGCATTGAAGACACAAGAGTATGCTGTCAGAATGTCCATCGGGGTGGTGAATGGGGAGCTGCAAACTGCCCCTGTGGGAGGATCCAGCTTTCTAGGCTGCCTGGCAGGGTGAGACAAAGTGGGGCCACCAACGCAGTGCACTCCTTACTCCCTCCAAGTGTCCCTCCATGTCCCCTAAACAGCTCCGCTTGAGTCTCGCTTCCCTCCTTCTTAACAAATATCACTCCTACTAGTAAGACAGACCATTAACACTTACTCGTTACAGTGCTTTATTGTATTTGAATGATCCTGTGCGATGCGGTGAAAGCATCTATGACACTAGTTTCAGGTTAATTTTAAATTTACCACCATTCACATATACATGGTATAAGGAAAACCACAGACCCTTTTCAGATCCCACGTCTGTAAACATATTTCCATATAGTGGCTAATTCACAGATTAAACTGTTTTTCTTACAAATACAAGCTTTTTCACTCTGAATCCTGAAGCCAGTTTCCCTCGTTACCAATGGACAGTGGTGTTTTGAGAAAACATCTTTCTCTGTAAGTATTCCACCAGTTCCAGCCGCGATGTAAGCAGCTCCAGGTCATGATAGGGAATCTGTGAAAGGAAACAGCTGTTACAACCTGCCACCATCCCAGGTGACTCTGCTGTTCAGAAACTGAAGCTATTCTAGTAACTTAATAATTCTGAAGGCAGGGTTAAGCACATTGATAAGATAATAGGTATATATCACTTTGGAAAACAACAAGCTTGAAAAATCTAACTATAAAATGTGAGTCAAGTAATTGAAGCCTAATCAACAAACTCCTAAGATATAAACTAGCAGAACCATTTGTGGTCTGCTGGAGGTGTCAGACCAGTTACTGTTAAAATATCTTAAAATGGAGGCTGGACCTATAAAACCTGTGGGTAGTGATGGTTCAATCACAATGACAGTGAGAGTTCAGGAACTGACCCTACCCTTGCTCAGATAGTAGATGCAATCAATACCCAGCTTGGGCCTTTTCTTGTATATAGAACCAACAGAACAGACCTTAAGCTAGCACAGCAAAACTAAACTAGGGGCGTTCCTAGAAGACTTCCAATAGACAATAGGAAAGTCTTTATCAATGGATCATCCTTTCCAAGTCACTCATCTGGGGAACCCCTAAATCTCTCCTGGTTTGATTCTACTCTCTTCATGGGCTATAATTCACTCACGTAAAGTCTCTAGAGTATACTGTGTCAGTGTTCTTAACTGAAAAAGCAAATTTTTGTAATAGAGACTGTTTCCTTGAAGGAAGAAAAAAAAAAAAGTGATAATATACCTGAACAACCTGGTAACCAAGTAACCGCAGGTGTCTTTGTTTAATAGCCTCTTTTCCGAGTAAGTGTTTACTGTCAGAGCAAAATCGCTGCGGCCCATCGATGCACAGTGCCACCCTGAGAAAGCAAACGGAATGTTCATTTACAAAACAAGTCTTTACCTACAAGAAATTATTTTGAATTTGTTTATTCCTATGTGTCAATGTTATTTTTAAATAAATCATGAATAGACTGTCCTTTAGCCTACTGAAAACATTTAATCCTTTTACTGTTTAACCAAATTAAAGGATTTTTCCACAACTGATAAGCTTACCATTTAGTTTCTTTTATTGAAAATAGATTCTTTTCTCACAACATATCCTGATTTTGGTTGCCCCCTCCACTCTTCCCAGTTCCACTCCACCTCCCCTCCATTCCAGTCTTTCATTAGAAAAGAACAGGCTTCCAAGAGATAACAACAAAACATGACAAAAGAAATCTGAGTCAGTCAGGAGTCCCATCTGGTACAGACCCAGGCAGGCTCTGAGCGTGCCACTTCAGTCTCCGGGAAGCCCACGATTTTAACTTCCAGATGCACGCTGTCTATCTTAAAAGCATCAGGCTGCGAACTTACGTCCCTAACTTTAAGCCCACAACGTGCTTTACCTTTTATGGATATCCTCATCCACTGTAAAGGGCAATACAAATCCATCTTCATCTAATTTAATTTCAACATCTGGCAAAAAAAAAAAAAAAAGAAAAAATTCCTCCTGTGATACCCTCCACAACACCATCTTCCTGCGTCCCTTCCGCTGGATCATTTCTTCCATATTTCCTTATCAGAGGCCGAGGCTGCAAAGTAACAGCCATAACCAATGGTGAGAATGGTTATTTAATTGGCCCTACAGACTAAGCAAGACAGCTTTGAGCTAAAAAGTCTCAATTACTCTGAAAGAGAGGTGTCTCAAGCAAACGACAGAATGCCAAGAACCATGTACACCCTCTCTTCTTCCTGTGCAACAGAGGCCTGGACCCTTAAATTCAGAGTGAAGAAAGCCCTTTAAGCTGAGCTGACACCTAGGCAACTGCGGACCTCACCTCTGCTTTCAGCTGTACTCTCTTCATGTGTAAGGAAAGTATCCCACACCCAACACGTGGCTCCTGAGCATGTGCATATCCCCTTCTTTCCCTCAGACACTACCATCCACTTTGTAAAGAGAGCCCGTAAAAGAGAGAGGTAAAATGTGTCAATACGCTATCACCTTTCATGTGATTATTTTCTTTTACTCAGCAATCTGAAAGAACAATTAGGGCAGAAGGACACAGACTCCTCCATGAGCGCTATACAATACAAGTCTGCAGCAGGTGAGGATTTATACCAGTGCCATCTAATTTAATCTTCTAATAAGCCAAGTGTCTCCTGAACACCTGAAATGTGGCTGGAGTGCCAGTGTGATGAGGAACTGAAAACTTGTATTTAAATATCGACATATCCTAATGGTACTATAGACAGCACACGCCTAAATTACAGCAGCAGTTAGGAACACCATTGAGCACTTACTATTTTACTTAGTACGCCAGTCTCAGAAGTATTGTTATTTTCTCTCTCTCATTTTGCAGATGAGGGATCAAGCAAAAAACAGTTGAGATCCTCTGCCCAAGACACGACTATGTGAAACCGAAGCTCGGTCCTAGCTCTATAGTAACTGTGCTAACCTCCCCTTCTGCTTGCCTCCAGCTGAGGGAAGCTTCCATCCTCCGGCTACTAAGTCTCGCACATGCTCAAGACGAACAGGATGCTTCTGACCAAAACAAGCTCCTGGGCTACTTACCTATGGTGTAACAATAGGGCGTCAACACTTTTGAAGCAAAATACGATCTTGATCCTAACAGATCAATTAGTCCAATCACCACAGACTTGTAGAGGTGGAGATCCACCGGGGTTTCTAGGGAGCAGCATGGAGTGAGGAATGACGTCACTTGGTATTTAGGAAGAAGTTTGGGGCCCTAAAATTCAAGAAAACTCAAATGTGAGCCCAAAGAGCAAGTTGAAGGCTGCTGGGATAAAAACTGACACAAAACTACTTTATACACATGTCATGTTTCTAAGACATGGGCACATCTTTTTCTCAAAATGACAATACACAAGATGGCTGCTAAAGCTCATGTTTTTAAAACGAGTAAAACACACACAAGAGCACTCAGATTAAAAGAGCCTCTGGAATACTTAGAGTTGCTTCAAGGTCACAATCATTTACAACTAAAGTGTTGGTTTGTTTGTTTTCGAGACATGATCTCTTGGTGTACCTGACTGTTCTGGCCTCCAAAGGCCGGCCTCTACCTCCTGAGTACTGCCACCACCACTTGGCTCGCAACTCAAGTTTTTAACAGTAGTATTCTAGTTTGCTTTTCCTTTGCTGTGATAGACACCATGACCCAAAGCAACTTAATGGAGGAAGGTTTATTTGAGTTTTTACTTCCCAGTGGTCCCAGTCCACTGCTAAATGAAGTAAGGGCAGAAACGCAAGCAGGAACTGAATCAGAAAGCACCAAGGAACTCTGCTTACTAGCTTGCTTGCTGGCTTGTGCTCAGCTAGCTTTCTTATACAGCCCCACCTAGAGAGGGAGCTACCCAAGGTAGGCCAGCCCCTCCCACATCAATCAGCAAGAGAAGCCCTCAAGGATATGGCCAATCTTATTGAGATAATCCTTCAACTGAGGTTGTGTCTTCCGAGGTTGTGTGACTGATAAAGACTAACCACGATAGGTGGAAAATGTGGTAAAAGTGACGTCTCAATTTCTAAAGAAAAGGGAGAGGGATAAACCACAACAAACTGGCCATCATCTGGAAAACAACTTAACCTCTTATCATCCACAGCAGAATACAAGTCCCCCGTGGTAAAGATGACTACAGTTAACACATGCCTCCTGTGTATCCTGTTCCATGTACTTACCACACACATACATACACACAGCAGACTGTGAGACAGGCATGTTGACATTTACTGAGGAGTGGACACATACGCAGATTCCAACACAAACAAATAACAGGACACACACAAGTTCCTAACTTGTAAGTATGTTGAGATAAGAAATATCATTTTAAAAGTTGAGTCAAATGGGTGGCAGAACAGAAATAAGATATTACTGAGAGAGGAAAATCAAGTCACAGAGATCTGTATGCAAAAAATTTTAAAACTTCTGCACAGCAAACCATTAATATTGCCTTAAAAAATAATAAAAAGTAAAGACAAAAAGAAAACATGTACAACAGTCCTAACTGTTAACAATTGTCTCATACTGAGTTCTTAAACCTGCAGAAGGGCGACTTGCAGGAAATATGAATGAACAAAACACCTGAAAACATGTTCAAGGCCATTAATTACTGCTCATCAGAATGCAACTGAAACATGTGGCATGGAAGCCCTTCTCAGGAGAGAAAGGACAAGGATTCAAAGGACCAGCAGCGCTGCAGCTGCAGCGTGGAAGACATGGCAATCAACTTCCTTTACTGTCAGGCAAAGATGATGCGAATCCGTACTAGGGGAAATGCATCAAACAAAATTCATTAGGAACTGCCCCTCCTCCCCAATTAAGAATCTAGTTCACAGACTTTTAAAAAGGCTGTAGAATGATAGACATCATGCAAGGATGTTCATTATAGCATTGTTGACAAAGACAAACCAGCAAAAACCTGAAATGCTCTGAGTGGAACGGCAAAACAAATGCCACAAACATCAAAGCTCTGCATCCAGTACTTGGGGATGGCTGCAAGGTGCGGGACAGAAAAACAAACCACACTTCCTTTAGTCAGCCCCAGCCCTTCAAGTAGGAACAAAGTAGACAGGGCACACACATTTGTTTACCTAAACCAGGGCAAAGAAATTGCTGTTAACACTACTCTTTCGAGGGTGTAAGGGGTAGAGGGAACTTCCATCCTGACAGACATCAGAGCAGTCCAAGCAGCTTTAAAAACTAGAGTCATGTTTATATTCTTGGATGTTCCTCTTCCAATCAGACACACTCGGCTGCTAGAGCACAGAGGGGCAGATGTGGTAGCCAGGCCTGGAGATGACATTTCTAATTCTACACAAGGTGTATGAATTTTCACAACAGTGCTGTGAGGGAAAGGCAAAGAGCAGCTAAACTACAGCAAAATGTTGGCTTGGCTTAAGGAGATAGTCAGAAAGAATTCTGCATTTGTTCAGTCCAGACAGCGACACTCCTAACAACAGCTATGTGGGGTGTGAAAGCCTGCCAGGAACTCTGGAATAGTGAACCTCATATTTGATGAAATCTAAGGAACTACATGACAGGACGTTTTCCAAAGACAAGCCCATATGATGGAACCAGTCCAGGCTAAGACAAAGTTCTGCTGTCTGAGTGCAAAATCAAAGGAAATCAAAGATTTGGAGAGGACAAAAGATGAACATTCTGGGGTCATAAAGCCATATACACCCATGTCTATGGTCTCACCTTGTAGAAAGGACACTCTAGGACTGAGGTGAGGAAAAGCTGGGTCAGCTGTGCCAGGCTCAACCTGTCCAAATATGACTCTTTACCTGAAAAATAAAAAAATTGTTGAGTTTGAATTTTGGCATGCAAAACAATTATGATCATAAAACAATCCATTCACTCAAGTGAACAGTTTTTAAATGGCACTAGAGTCATGAGTCAATGTAAACAGTACCCAAGTACATCCCAAGTCACAACAGTTAATTTTTTAACCGCCTCACCTTGCAGCTTCTGAAGAAAAAATGGACTGAATATTTTTGACATAAAATTAACTGGATGGCGTTCAATCAGCGAACATGAATGCAGAAGTCTCAATAGCATTTTTGGTGGAAAACTATGTAAATGAACAAATAGCACATTTTCTACCTTCCTAAACAGAGCAGGAGCATTTGGTGGCAAATAATTGAGTTTTCCAAATGGTTCAATTAATTCAGAAATCTGACTAGGTGAAAGTTTTTCTGACTTGGAGACAAAAGTCTCTGCAACTGCATCGAAGATGGGCTTGGAAAGAACCCGCTTTCTACTGCAGTACTCCATCACGGTGCTGGCAAAATCAGGGTCCAAGGAGAAGCTCAGGGCAGCTACGTGTTGCTCTAAAGCCTCAATGAGAAACCTGTCATTGTGTCCAAAGTATACTAACCCCTCCAAGATCTTCCGGAGTTCTTCATTAGTAAAACGAGGGATGTATCTCACCATGTGCTTACCCAACTTGATAACCAGTGGAAGTGCATGAGTCTGGTTAAGAACCACCAACGCAGTAAGCACTTGGCTAATGGACTGAGGGCTCAGACAGGAAACTATTGAAAGGGCAAAGCTGTTCACTTTGTCTAAAAAGGACTGATGTTTGTCTATCTTTTCAGAACACGCCTGCAGGATTCTATAAATGGCCACAATATCCTGTGGGGCAAACATTTCCAAATTTTCACTTTGCAGCTGACTGAGGACCAGTTCCAGAGTCTCACAACTTGGACCTTGAAGTCTAGCCAGACTTTCCCCAAGAACACAAAGATGGTGGACTTCCAGGCTGCCCCTTCGGAGACGACTCTGGCATTCTGCCATGAGGCTCAGCATCAGGCTACTTTGAGGATCCACAGGCAACACAGGCAGAGACTGCAGAACTGTCACTAGAGCAGCATTGGTCAGGTGCGAGGGATTCTGCTCACACCGAAGGCATAGAGCTTGGAAGATTCGGTTCTCCAGGATTCCGTTTGGCAGCCTTTGCTCACCATCTCTCTTCCCCACCTCACAGATCTTGAGCAAAGCTGCTGCTGCCAGAGTGACAGGCAGAGTGTCCAGTGTACTTACGAAGCTCAACACTTCCTCTGGGGAGGTGTAGCTGTTTAGTCTCCCGTAAAGGATCTCTTCATCCTCGTTTTTAAGACTCTGTTCCAGCTGGTTCCATTCCTGTACTTGAGAGAACCACGGCTCAGCAACTGGATGAAGGTCATTTCCGTTCTCTGAATGGAAGTTTTTACAGTAGGCATGATGGAATCTGATCCTGAACAGCTCAGGTTGTAGGCAACAGGACAAAACACGGAGACGATCTTTGACTCCCTTTTGGACATGATTGGCAGGGTGAGTTTTCAGCGTGGCCACAGCTCCAGGTATATGACAAAAGTTTCTCCGCAGGGTGATTAACGCCATGCCATCAGATTCACAACTTTGCCTTAGCATGAGAAAAAAAAAATGGCCAAATGTTGAGAACAACATCAATGTTTACAAAACTGAGTATCCCATAACAAAGATTTAAAAACAAGAACATCTCTAAAATATTAAAAATGCAAGGTTTCCTCTTCCTATTGAGCCAGGAAATAGAGACACCCTGGGAAGGGGCTTCCCACTGGTCTTGACCTCCATATTTAATTGGCTTACCACCCAACAATTTCACCATAACTACCTGCAAAGACCTGCACACTCCTTTCTAAGCAGTGTCACAAAGATTTTTTTTTTTAATGAACTATGCCTTAAATATAAACTCGTTGCATCACATGTGTACGTAAGGATCTTAGATTAATGTTTTACATCTGGTACCACGCCCTTCTGTAATGCACAGCCACACAATATACCTTTACAAAGGTTTCCCCTTCAAGGACCGAGTTCTATGGATAAAGAGAAGGCAGTACACCAACACACACCTCTTTTAATATGTACGTTAAATAGCTCCAAAACTCCCATAATCATACACATCTTTGACTGCTCAGGCTTTCAGGCCCACGTCTCTTAACTGTCTTCAAGAGATCCTGTCTTTCTGATTCATCAGAACTCACGGACTTTGCTTTACTCGGGCTCATACTAAAATTTCTTTTCTGTGGCCCTTAGCGGAGCCCTGTGGAACTCTGAGGATCATCAGATGTGCTGTGGCATACAGGGCTGCCTTCTTGTGGGCTATGTCAGAGCAAAATGCCGGTCAGGGCTCCTGACCGTAAGCGCGATCGCTGCCCAGGCCTTACCGTCAGTCCCGTCTACGGGCTAGGTTACAGTAATTCACTTCCTTTGACAGATGCTTTTCCACCTAAGAAACCGAGGCACAGGGAAGCTGTCTCACAGTTAAGCTGCGAACCACAGAAAGAGCTGGAATTCAAATTCTACTTCCAAATCTGGAGACTCGCGTGTTGGCGGGAAAGTCATTGTATATATTTAAGAGTGGGGAGCAGCAGCGGTAAAATTCAAACTCGGGGTACGAGCCGGGCAACGCGTGGTAACACGTGCCGAGAAGCCGGAGAGGTGGCTGGGGCTGGAGCGCCGTAGACATTAAATCAATTAGAGAAAAGGCAGCGGAGCAGCGCAACAGCTGAGGTAGTCGCCGGGCATCCACACCGGAGCCCACGGAGCACGAGTGTGGGAGTCAGAACGGCGATCGCGACGAAGGAGCCGGTGACCGAACCCCGCGGAACTTACCGAGCGGATCCGAGCCGCGCTCGGGACACACACGGAGCTTCCGAGCCCTGGGATCGTCCGTCCGCTAACACTGTCCGTCACATGTAGGACAGCCCGGCGCGTGCGCGGCGCTGAGGCCACGCCCACATCCGGCAATCAACGATTGGCCCAGGTCCGCCGACATTTCTAGTGGTGCGAGCGGAGCATTTCGTGGTGTGCCTGTGCGCGTGCGCAGTGTTGCCGGACGGAGTCACAGGAAAGCGGCTGCCCGCACTGGCGTTGGCGCCCCGAGGTACTCGGCTCAGGGTGGCGGGGAGCGACCGACGCGACGGGGCGCCGGGACTGGCGCCGGCTCAGTAAGGATGCTGTCTTTCGTCTCCCGGGCCGCGGGTCCCTAACACGGTGCCGTGGGGAGGAGTCTTCTTCGTCACCTTTCCCCCTAAACGCCGAGGGCCCCACACGTGTCGCGTTGCGATTCACCCATTGGTCCTGTCAACTCGGTAGCAGTGTTTCGTGTTAATTTTTGCATCCCAGGTCCCCAGCAGATGAGCCACGAGAGCATAAAACTATAGTTGCCTCACTCACCGAAAGAGTTCCCTACAGATCGACAACCATTTGGCGCTAGCACTACATAGAATGCCGGTGTGTGGAATCGCAGTGCCCTTTATTCCCTTCATTTTACTCTAGGTTATCTGCGGGGTCTCTGGGTGTAAGTCCGTGTACACTAACTACTGGTTTATACAATAGTGGAAACTTTCAGGAAACAGGAATTGCATGATTTGAAGGGAACATCATACAGTTACAATTTTTTTGAAAGGCAGAAACAAAAACCTTTGAAAGTGACACAGTGTTTGAGCTTTGCCAGGCCCTTCACCGTTGCCATCCTTCATCATTCAGGCTTATGATCCTAATTCCGAGTACAAATGAGCAGTCAGGCCACTCTCCTACAAGTATGCACTTCTGAATGACACTTGCAAGACTCAGAAGTAGCTGGAAGTCTGGAGTGGATTTCTGGGCAATGCAGTCAAGAGTCTCACTTTTGTATACTTCCCATCTTAATCCTCTCACACTGTGGTTCATTTAAAATGAGTGCTCAGAAGCAAGTTTAGAGACAGCTATTTCAAATTGTGTGTGTGTATCCTTGAATTCTTTTTTTTTTTTTTTTTTTGGAAGACTGATGGTAGAATTAAAAACCTGCAGGTTACCCACTCCATTAAACAGTATACCCTTTTCCCTTTCTGTTTTTAGTCTGGCCTTTTGTTCAAGTTACTGCTGATGACCTGAAGTGATGAGAAGGTTTTTGTTACTGTATGCTACTCAGCGAGGACAGGCAAAGGCCATAGCGGAAGAAATAAGTGAGCAGGCTGTGTCTCACGGGTTTTCTGCAGATCTTCACTGTATTAGTGAGTCGGAAAAGGTAAGGGCAGCTGTTACTGTGACTTTATCTGTTTTTGTGCTATGACATAATCTGTTGTGGAATGAGGCTATATATCCATCCCTTCCTACTTATTTGTTTCACGGATTTTCCCACACTAGTCTTGAACTCACAATAGCCCAGACAAAACTTGAACTTGGGATCCTCCTGCCAACTACTTGAGATTAAACATAAAGTAAAGCATACGTTTGAACTAGTTTAAAAATTTCAGAAACTGAAGCAGACAGATACTACCTCGTTGTAAGTGCTAACAGTGGTGTCTGCTTCCTTTATTTCAAGTGGCTGTGAGAACAAATGTGATGGCTTTGCTTTTGTATGCATTTGTCTGCCCTTCTGTTTTTTCCACCTTACAAACTCAGTGCCCCTTTGGGTTCCCTCAAAAGACTATGCCATTCATTGTAGAGTTCCTCCAAATGAAAGGCTATTTGGCTTCCTTAATGAGCTGAAATTTAAAGATGTGTCTTCAGGATCCAGTAAGCCTGCTGCAGTCAAGGACTACTAGTCTGTATGGGTCACAGTTTCTCTGAGAAGTCCCTATGTGAGTTGATAAGCACGTGGCCACACTGTGCCCCATCCTCCATCTGAGGTATCCAGAATGGATGGTTCCCAGAAGTTCAAGCAAAATGCTTGTGCTACTCTTAGCCCTCAAATTCAGTCCATTACCGCAGAAGCTATCTGAACAGTGTTCCTCCCATACTCCAGCTCAGTTTGCTCTGGCCTCACAAACCAGTTTCACTAGGCTGGACCATCAGCGACATGGTAAATCATTAATTATGCTTACAGAAGGAGACATCGCCTTCATGCAGCTCTGCCAGTGTGGCTGTGGCTGAGATTCCCAGGTTACCACCAATGAGACTGACCTTTCACTCAGCAGTAGCTCGGAGTAAACATTCCACAATGCTCATGCTGCTATTCCTAGATTCTGTAATAGCAGCGAATGTGTCATAAAGCCAGCCCTGTTGGGCCTATTATTTGACCTTACTAGCTGGGCTGGCATCCGTTTGGCAGGAAGGTCACTGATATTTTTTAGGTTTTTTCTTTTAATGCTGCGTGAACCAAGCTGTTTGTTCCCCATGACTGAATGGTTTTGCGAGTTGTTCATGATCTAAGTGAAAAGGATAGCCCTCTGTTTTCTACCTCACAGTAGTCCTATTAATGGTAGCATGCTTCCTGTAGTGCCTTGTTAACATTTAACAGCCTAGTAGGAAGTTATCCCAAGTCCTTATCCATAGGCATGAAAAAAAAAGTGAAGGCTGGTCAGGCCCTGTGTTAAATCAGGCACAAAAAAAACAAAAAACAAAAAAAAAACCAAACAGTGTTGGGAATGTAGTACAATTAGCAGAGTGCTTGCCTAGCATGTACAAAGTCCTGCGTTTGGTCATTAGCACTGCACATAAGCTGGGTGTGGTGGCATGCACCTGCAATCCAGGTATTTGGGACATGGAGGCAGGAGGATCAGAAATTCAAAACCAGCCCTGAATGCATAGTGACTTTGAGGCGACATGTAAAGTAAATTTTTTGTTTTGTTTTGTTATTGTTTTGTTTTGTGGTATTTTGAGACAGGGTTTCCCTGTGTAGTCTTTGCTGTCCTGTACTCTCTTTGTAGACCAGGCTGACCTCAAACTCACAACAAACTGCCTGCCTCTGTCTTCAGGAGTACTGGGATCACAGGCATGCACCACCATGCCCAGCATTAAAGTTAATTCTTTGAATCTAAACTAGGCAATGCTCATAAGCAGTAGAAGAAACCTCAAAAGAATTAACATGAGCCATATCCTCTTGCCCTTGATAATATTCCAAACATGAAGGAAACACTGATTCTGACAGGCAGCTGTTAGCAAAAGGCAGCACTTAATTTTCCCCTTTAAAATAATGTTCTGTTCATCTGTGTGTCATTGCCTCTGTTTCATTTGTAATACATGTGACTGTTCAGATGTGATAAAGATTCCAGAGCTGCAGCTTGCACTGTATGCTGGGCTATCTCGTGTTGCTACTATGTTCTGACATTTTTTAAAAAGTGTATTTATTGAGGCAGGGCTCACTGTGCAGCCTCCACTGACCTGGAACTCCCTTTGTAGACCAGGCTAGCCTTGAATTCAGCACTGCCTGCCTCTTCCTTCTAAGTAATGAGATTGAAGGCATAAATTACCACATCTAGCCCTGTTCTGATGTTTTAATCTTGGGTACACTGTGTCTGTTATCGTTGTTTCTGACTCACCTTGACCCCATAAAACCCCTTTGCTCTTTTTACTTTCATGTGTGTATATATTTATGACCTACCCATTTTACCCCTTCCTTCTCAGGATGTCCTCCAGACAGTTTGATGGGCCTTTTTACTTCTCATGCTTTCCTGAAGAATTCAATGGCAGCCTGAGAGGCTTTTCTTAGTGAACCATGTGGAGCAAAGATGTGTTAAACTCTCCTAGCCTCCATCATGGTGAACATCTGCAAAAGTGAACTAAAAGGCAGTGTTTCTTTTCTTTATTGGGAAGCATGATTGAGGCCCCTGGTCACAGTACTGGTCACTGGTATGTGTTTACAATAACTTGGCCAGAGGGAAATTAAAAGGAAACATGCAAGACAGGAAAGGAGGCTGATTGCCTTAGTTTGTTTTGGCTTGCTCTTGCTGGTGTATTAAATCACACATTCATGCAATGCTGTATCCTGATTTGCTCTCCGTTTTGTAGTATGATCTGAAAACTGAAACTGCTCCTCTGGTGGTGGTTGTATCCACTACGGGTACCGGAGATCCACCTGACACAGCCCGCAAGTTTGTTAAAGAAATACAGGACAAGACACTACCCACAGACTTCTTTGCTCACCTGCGATATGGATTATTGGGTAATTATTTTAATTTTACTGCTTTGATGTGTGAATATATCTTTCAAAATCTTGAAATATAATTATATGAGTGTTTTTATATAACTATTATGTCTATATAAAATACAGAAATGTCAATCATTCTCCAGTTTATGCCGCAAAGCAATGCTCTGATCCTTTCCTCTCCCTGTCCTGGATATATCTGGAGGATCAAACCCAAGCCCTTGCACCCTAGCGGAACACTTTACCACTCAGCTACACTGCCGAGAACTCTGCAGAACCCCACCAGTAGCCATGGCATGTTTGTAGAAATGTAATGTCTAGGTCTCACTCCAAACCTAAGACAGAACTCTTGAAGGAGCAAGAACTTGGGATATTTAGTTGTTTAAGAAAATAGCAGGTCACAGAATCAAGCTCTGTTCTTAGTTATATTCATAACTTCAGAATTCTGGTTTTCAGCCCCTAGCACATCAGAACCAGCTAGGGAGTTTTAGTAATTCCTTTACATTGACTTGGCCTGCCAGCAGTGACTCTGATATTCAGAGGTGGGGCTCTGTTGTCCATAGTTAGTAATACCTCTTTGCTGATAGTCATATCTATCACATGTTAAGAAAATGGCCTGGGTCTTTGTAGAGCATAGCTTACACAGGTTATGACAAGGACCAGAAGGGCCAGCATAGGACCAGTAAGACAGGTTGGCAGGTAAAGCAGCTTGCCACCAAGCCTGATGACCTGAATCAACCTTCAAGACCTACATGACAGAATCCTGCAGATAATGCTTTAACATTCCTGTTATACCATGATGCCTGCGTGTGTGTTTGTATGCACAGAATAAATTTTA